CCATAGTTTGCTGTGGTTTGTCTGGGACGTGTATGTTCATCCTGCTTTTCCTCGTTCATGTTTTGTTGTTGTTTGTATTATTTGTTTGTAGTGTTTTTTTATATTTTTCTCTTCCTTGAAAATTCTGGCAAAATGATCGTTGGAAAGAGTTTTTTGTTTAATAACCTGAATTAATCATATCCATTCTATTACTTTATAATAACGGTCAGCATTTAGATTAGCATCTTGAATAAATTTATCTATTGTAGCATTTCCACTTGTCCTTTCATCAAAATTATTTTAAAATGTGCTGAGTTGCACAGTTTGCACCAGTTCCAATAAATGCATTCTTCATTGCAATCTGAACATAACTTTTCTTTTCATTTAGAAGTTTATTTTTTTAAAAAAAAGAATAATAAATAAATTTGTATCAGAATTTACGTTTTGATGAAATTACTTAAAGTAGGTAAAAATATCAATAAATTTTTATATTTATCTCATTATTGCAGACCATAATATTTATAAGTATTTTCCTCAGACTTCGGAAGGAGCAGTGACCTAATTGCATTTGGTTCAAATTCAAATGACCAGGTCATTTAATATGACCAATATTTATAGTAATTTAATTTAAATAATCGCATAATCATATCACATGCATCAAATAATTTCTAATTTAATTTTTCAAATTTGATCATTGTCATTTGTGAAATGCATTTTGTCAATGACAAGGTCACTCATTTCAAAATAGGCAAATGGCTTATATATAAAATTTTCGATTTTTTTGGTTTAAAATTTTCTTATTTCAAATTTTCATTGTAATAATCAAAAGCCAATATTGATAAAATTTAAAAATTCATATTAAAGGCCAATTAACATTATTTAATATCAATTGTACTTTATATTGCAATATGTAAGTAATAAATTCAATAATTATTGAAAGAACTAATAATACTTCTTTAATTATTATCATACAATTGAATCACAGGAAGTGAGTATTATTTAAACTCATAATTATTTGGATTAAGGTTTCAATTTAATCTGACATCTAATAAAACTTCTTTAATTAATTATCATGTAATCAAAAATTACAGGGAGTGAGCATTATTTAAATTCATAATTATTTAGATCAAAGTTCAACCTATTCTAATATTTAATTATACTTCTTTAATTAATTATCATGAAATTGAATTAGAGGAAGTGAGTATTATTTAAATTCATAATTATTTAGAACAAAAGTTTCAACCTAATCTAACATCTAATAATATTTCAAATAATTATCATGTAGCCAAATGTATATCTTATTACAGGGAGTGAGTATTATTTAATTTCATAAATATTTAGACGAAAGTTTCAACCTAATCTAACATCTTATAATACTTCTTTAATTAATTATCATGCAATTGAATCACAGGGAGTGAGTATTATTTAAATTTTATAATTATTCAGATCAAGGTTTCAACCTAATCTAGCATCTAATGGTACTTTAATTAATTATCATGCAATTGAATCACAGTTTGTAAGTATTATTTCATTCATAATTATTTAAATTTAATGCTTCTATAATTAATTGTCATGCAATTGAATCACAGGAGGTGAGCATTATCTAAATTCATAATTATTTAGATCAAAGTTCTACCTAATCTAACATCTAATAATATTTAATTAATTATCACATAATCAAACACATATCTTATTACAGAAAGTGAGTATTATTTAAATTCATGATTATTAAGCTAATTATATATTAATTAATCTTGTTAATTAATTATCAATTATATTAAGGTCAGTATTTAGATTCATAATAATAAAATAAAGTTGTAAATTAATTTAATATCAACTAATACTTTTCCAATCTATTGCAAATGTAGGAGGTAAATATTTATATCTATAACTATTGCAATATAGAGTTTTATAATTGCTTGTTTTAAATAATATATTTTAGTGATGACAAGAAATATGGAAAATGCAAAGAATGTCAACAAGATAATACTGGGGATAAATGGTGTATTACATGTAATCGCATAAGATTTCAAAGTGAATTTAATAAATGGACAAGTGAAGATACAGAAATTGATGAGTTTATTCAGCAAACTCAACTTAAGGCAACTAAATGTGAAGAAGTTATTGAATGAATTCCATTTGATAGATTTTATAATATTGAATATCTTGCTAAAGGAGGTTTTGGCAAAGTTTTCAAGGTAACATGGTCTGATGGATTTATTATATCTTGGAATTCTCAAAAGAAAACTTGGAAAAGAAAATCATACACATTCAGAGATGCTGTTTGCTTAAAAAGTCTTAATACTTCTACAAGTAAATGGAAATTTTTACAAGAGGTTAAGCATTTTATGTAGTAAAATTTTTATATTAATTGAATAAACAATAATTCTTTTTTATAATATTGAGCCGATTAATATTTTAGATAAAAAATCAACTCATATTTCGAGGTGGACAATTGCAATATATGGATAACCAAAAATCCAACAGAAAATGAATATATGATAGTCATGCAATATGCAAAATATAGTAGTCTACAAAAAATGGTATCTTTAAAGAATTAACTTGGTATAATAAATATTTCAAGGGTGAATTCTGGCACAACTAATAATTTAAATTGCATAAACTTTTTTTTAAAAGAATCTCTAGATCAAGAGCTATTGTATGATATATTATTTATTCAAATTGGATACCTATTTGTTTAAAATTTGTCTTAAATAAAATTAACCAAAAATAATCAAAAATATTGTTGAACATTTACTGTTTAAAGAAAATTATCAATTGTCATTACATATAAAACATTATTTTATACCAATTAAACCTTAAACGTGATGCAAAGTAATCTTGAAGTGACTATTATTGCACATTTACTATAAAAGTTTCAAGCTTATAATTAACAATTAAACTTTAATAAATAAATGCTTATAATTTCTTTAATTCTTAATATCTGGATTTCAAACTTTTATGATAGATATAAAACAATATTATCTTCATGTTTACTTAGTTTTTTTTTTGAGGTTTTATTGGTATAAAATGATGTTTTATATGTAACAACAATTGATAATTTTTTTTAAACAGTAAAATGATTGACAATAATTTATTTTCAAACTTTTTGAGAATTTTTTACTTAACTTCAAATGCTAATTGTAGCACAATAAGATCCAAATTACATAAAATGGATTCTTAAATCAAAGCCTACTATATGATATCTTGTTTGCTAAAATTGGACATTTTTTTGTGCAGAAATTTTGTTTTAAATAAAATTAATCAAAAAAGTCAAATTAAAATATTGATTGTAAAGTCTCTCGATTTTGATTCAAATTTATCATAGACACAAATAATCTTATAACAATTTGTAGCTAATAACGAGAGCTACAATTTCTATTAAAACTATTCTTAATATTTTCTAGTAAAAATTTAAACTTTATTTAAGCACAAATAAAATTCTAATGATATATAAAGAGCTCTTACTTTTATTAAAACTATTTTAACATTTTCTAGTAAAAAAAATTTTTAATGATATAACTCTTAAATAAATAATGCTCAAAATTAATATTTGGTTAGATATCCTTTATTCTTTATAACTGCACTAATTCTATTTGGCATACTTTTTACTAATCAAGTAAGTTGACTTTCATCAATTTTGTATCATTCTTCTTGTATTTCTACAAAATAGGTTTATGTTTTCTAATTATTGTTTCAAGTTCATTCCATAAATTTTCAATTGAATTAAGATTGGGACTTTGAGCTGGCCAAGGAAGTCTTTCAATTAAATTATCTTCCTTCCATTGTTTTGTTATATTTGAAGCATGGCATGGTGCATTATTATCTTGAAAAATAAGATTTTTTATACTTAAATTATTTAAATATGGAAGCAAATATTCTTTGAGAAATTCTATATATCTATCAGAATTAAGGTTGTCTTCAACTGAAACCAGTGAACTCAACTTATTATACAAAAACATCCCCACACCATTATTTCTACTGAATTTTTAACTGTAGGCTTTAATTAGTGGTGGGATCTGGATATCCGTTTATCTGTAAATGGATATCTGTGAAGCTTTATCATGGATATGGATATCCATAATTAAACATCTGGATATATCCGCAGTATCCATATTTATCTATATGTTTATCCATATATATATCCGTGAATAAAAAAAATATTTCACATGATATAATAATTTTTCTATAATATGTGAATCAGAAATAAATATCAATGGTTGCTAAATATAAAACATTTTATTTTAATAAGTAAATGTCAAAGCAGAACCAAGTAACCTTAAAGACAAAAGGTATTTACATATTATATTAAAATAACAGACCTATATCATCAAAATTAAGAGAATTATTAGCTGCTAAATTTCGAACGGGCAAAAAATTCTATATAATAATTGCTCGCTCAATTTTGAAGTTAAGCATTTGTCCTCCAAATATAATACGCAATTTATTCTTATCTTTGAAGTTACTTAGCATTGTTTTTAAAATTCACTAACAATATAAAACGTTTTATATGTAGAACGATTGACGATTTTGTATATAACTATGTTATTATTTTTATATATAATTATAACAATTATATACAAAATCGCCGATAGTTGATACATATAAAACCTTTTATATTGTAAGTGAATGCCAAAGACAGTACTAAGTAATTTCAAAGACAAGAATGAATTGCGTATTATATTTAAAGGACAGACCTATATCAACAAAATTGAGTGAACAGTTACCATTTAAATTTCTTTTGCCCGTTCGAAATTTAACCATTAATAGTTCTCTCAATTTTGATAACATAGATCTGTTCTTTTAATATGATATGAAAATCATTCTTGTGTCTAAGGTTACTTAGTACTGTTTTTGATATTTACTTATTAAAATAAAATGTTTTATATGTAGTAACTTTCATAGATTATTTCTGATTTTTAATTTATAAGTGATTGTCAAAGGAAAAATTGATTATACCCGAAGTGCATTTTATAACTTTTAGGAACTTTGTACTATAGATCTTTACAAAAATAATATTTCTACACATTCTAATATAAAACATAAATAAAAACAAATAAAAATGAATAAATTTTTATTTATTTTAAAAGCAACCAAACCAAATTTCTTTTTTAACTAATTATTTTCTTTTAAAAGTAATCAATTTTATTCATTTTAAAAGTAATTAGATTTCTCTTTTAATTATTTATGCTCTACTGGAAAAATTCTCCCAGCCAATTGCCAATTTTTTTTTACAAAAATTAAATTTTCAAATATATTTGCTGTTAATTGTGTTCTCTTTATATTCATAATATTTCCTGCTTGACTAAATAATTTTTCACTTGAAGTGGAGGTTGCAGGAATAGCTAAATATTTTTTAGCTAATTTTGATAATATTGGAAATCTTGATGCATTATTTTTCCACTATAAAAGAGAACAATCTTCAAAATGAATTTTAGATAATGCTAAATAACTATATACTTCTTCAAGATCATTGTTGTTTTGAAACATTCTTGCTAAAAATGAATTAGATTTAACTAAAATACATTCAATTTCTTGATTATCATTAGCTAAAATTTTTGTATCTTGATAAGCTTTTTTAAATTGTTCTAAAGTTTTAATGCATATTTCTTCTGAAGCAAGTTCTAAATCTTTAAATCTGGAATCTAATAATGCAGCCAACATTCCATGTTCTTGTGGAACTTTCCAATAATGTATAATGGCATTATATAGTTTCATTTTTAACTTGTTTTTTTTTCAAATTTAAGCAATTTTGTGGTGAATTAATACTAATTTTTCTGCTTTTTGGTTCTCCAGTAATAGGCTCATCATCTTCTTCTGTTGCATCATTATAGCTTATATTATCATCAAAAGCTGTATTTGAATTACTTAAATCTACAATTTCAACTTCTGAACCATCAGGTAATAATTTTTGACTAATTATTTCTAATATACTATACATCAAACTAATAGTAGTGTATTTACTTCCACCCAAGTATTCAGTTGCTTCAGCAAAATCTTCTAAAATTATAATTAATTCACCAATTGCTTGCCATTCCTCTTCTGTCAAATTTATACTTTTTAATCTTCTTCCATCATATATTGTTGAAAAATTTGGATCAATTATCATAGTAGTTGCTATAATTTCAACAAGATCTTTAATTTTAATTAGATATTTCCATGCAAGATAACTAGAATTTCATCTTGTCTCTACATCAGAAATCAATCTCAAATATTCATGAATATCTTCCAAATTCTATAATAATATATTTTAGTATTAAAAATATTAATAAGTTGTTCAATCAAGTTTACAATTTAAAAATTTATAAATTATTTAATAATTACCTCATTATTGATATGACTATTATTTTTTTTATTTCTATTAATTTTTCTATTTGTTTAAGTGTAGTAAAAAAATTAATTAGATGTTGGCTCTTGCAATTAAAACTTCAGCTGGTAGTAATCCTTTTAAATAACTAATTGAAGTGTATGTGCACTGCAAGGAAGTTGTGTAAGTTCAGTTATCAATGTTCCTGCTTTGATCATATTTGATCCATTATCTGTTGTTATTGTAAAACTTTATTAGTTAAATTCCAATCTGAAATAATTTCAGTTAATACATTAAAAATATTATATCCAGTATGGGAATATGGTATATATTGAATTGATAAAATAGTTTCACAAAGTTTGAAATCATTATCAATAAAAGAACAAGTCACTCCAATATAACCATTTCTACTTCTAGCTGTCCATAAATCAGTAGTTAAAGAACATGAAATTATTTCTTCATTAAATTTTTTTCCAAAATGGTTTTAATTTGATAATAAGATTCTACTAATAATTTTTGAATTGTTTCTTGCTTGGAAGTTGATAAATAAGGATCAAGTTTATGGATAAATTCAATAAATCCCTCATTATTACACATACTTTTAGTTGAATATCTTTAATTAACATTTCAACAAATTTTTTATTATGACTTTGTTTAATATCAGGATTGCTTCTCAGTATTTCCTCAATAAATGGTTGTAATGATTGATTATTATTTTTAAATTCATGCATTTTTCTCTTGTGACTTTCTTCAGTAATTCTATGTGTAGCAAGGTGGGCAATAAAATTACCTGGAGACCCATCAGAACTTATGAAATGACCACAATTATTGTTTTGCTGAACTAAACACTCTCCGATTCTTTTTCATTGTCCATGAGATTTATAATGTTTGAAATAATCCCATATCCAACTAGTTCCAGGTTTTGTATTTGATGTTGGAATTAATTAATTAATTGATTAGACATTTTATTTAAGTTTATTTTTGTTGATTTTTTAAAGTGTTTGAGTTTTTGTAAATTTGAACTAGTTTTAAACTAAATATCTGTATTAGAGTCTGATATGACTACTATAGGCTCAAGAGTATTTTTTTTTGACTTTTGGATGAATTATGTTTTTGCTTTTGTCTTTTCAAATTATTTTGTTGTTTCTATCTGTTTTGAGGACTTGTCACTTTCATTGTTGAACATTCTTACTATTTTGAAATGAGAATAGTAAGAACAATTGTGTGGAATTTCATTTTTTGTTTCAAATAAAATATGGTACACAAGTCTTCAGTATTATAACAATAGATAATTTGAATTTTCTTTACATAATTATCTTCTTAATAAATTAATAAATTGACATTCTTTTTATTATTCCAATACATATATGTTGATTACATTCATATCAATCTTAACTGATTGCAATAAGTATGTTCAAGGATAAGGAGAAGAGGTGTTATTATTATTCTTATTTTATTTTTTAAAAGAAAAATAATTAAAATAAATAATGGACATCTGCCATAAAACAAAGAGGTAAGTATTATTTTTTTTAATTTAATTTATTTATAGCAAAAAAAAACATTAACATACTTCTGCCACATGTATCATCTAATCAATTCCGTATTCCTAAAAGGAGAGAAGAGATAAGTATTGTTTTTCCTTTCTTTTTTTATTTTTTTAAAAAAATAAAAGTAGATACCTTCACACCTAATTCTAGATTCCTAAAGGAGATAAGAGGTAGGTATAGTTTTTCTTTTTTTTTTTATTTTAATTTTTTAAAAATATTTGAAAATATATTATACATCCACTCTAATTCTATATTTCTAAAAGGAGAGAAGAGATAAGTATCTTTTTCCTTTTTTTTATTTTAATTTTTATTAAAAAAAAAATAAAAGTAGATACCTTCATCTACCCAATCAATTCTGTATTTTTTAAAAAAAAAGAAGAGGAAGATATCATTTTTTTTTTTTTTATTTTATTTTTTTAAAAAAAAATAAAGATAAATTTTGCGAACTTTGTTAAAGAATGAAATCATTATGATAAAATATAGTATACAGTACTAGAAACACCTGTAAATAATTAATAATAACATTAAATGATAATAATATTCAAAATTTAATTAGTAAACCTAAATTAATGAATGGTAATATTTTAATAACATTCTAATCAATATTTATACTTAGTGACACACCGTTACCTATATTGTACTCGATGGATATTAATGACAGATACCAACTATCTTATATGAAATTGTAGCTAAAAATAATATCTACAATTTTAATTATTGACATTTTTCTCAATACCTAATAAAAAATTTACTTCACATAGACGTGAACAAAAATGACTGAAGTTTAATAAAATTTAAAAAATAAAAAAAATTCGAAAATAATTATATCGATTGTAAATACCTGAAAAACTTGATTATTGATTAACTGAACTCTAATATGGTATTAAGTCACCTTAAAGCCTGAAATATGGAACATCTTTTGTAAAAATTTCAGCCTTATATATTAAGAATTGAGAGAATAATACACGACTAAACTTTAGAGTATAATTTTGAAATGTCCAATATTCAACCATTAATATTAAACTCAATTCTCAATTTAAAAACTGAAATTTTCACAGTAGATACTCCATATTTTAAACTTTAACTGTAATCAGTACCATTTTTATTGTTATTAATAGATAAAGAAGTTTTTTATATATGGTTCCGATTGGTTATTATTTTTCAGATTTAAAATTTTTAAAAAATGATTGACATGGATGTACTACATTAAAAATTTGAAAATTATTACAAAACTACAAAACTTTTGTTTTTATAATAAAATAGTAAAAGTTAAACTAAGCAACATTAAAAATAAAAATTGAATACATCTGCTGTAAAAGTTTTAAAATTACATTATAATAAATATGAAAAAATTTAATGTAATAATAAATATGCAAGAGTGAATCTTTTGTTCTTTAAATTAGTAGAATTATTTTAACTACAGGTTCCTCGATCTAGCTGGAATATTCAAGCTTTAATTTGTACAAAAATATGAGCCATCAATATTTAAAATTCATCTGTGCAAAAAAAAAATATGCCATTTATTATTAATATTCAAGTTTTTATAATATAAATCATCAATATTTAGGTTCTTATTCTGAAATAAAAAAATCTTGTCTTGGTTATTTTAATCATTCTGCTTTTATTTAAAATCTTTAAAAATCTCTTCTGTAAATTTTGAAATTTGTTAAAGAAATGTGAATACATATAGATTACAACAATAATTAAATCATCTGAAGAATTTGTAGAAGTAGAATGAACCTATCCCATTATCTGTTATGACCAATATAGATAATCCAAATACAGGTACTTCATCAATAAAAATTTCTTTATATAGTTAAATATATTAACTATTTTATTAGCAATAATTAATTGCATATAATGCACAACATGCATGCATCTTCAATAATTAAAATTATATTTTGCCACATTAATTAGACCACAACCTGATCGAAGTGAGATTCAACAGCATAAACTATTCATTCCTGTCTTATTTTTTTTTTTTTTTTAATTCCAACGGAGTCATGTTTTATTAAACAATTTATTTTGCAGTTGATAAAAACTAAACAAATTTATAAGAACTACAAATACATTTAATACAACTGGCTATGGCTAAATTAATAACACAATGGCCCGACCCATCGTTGCCCTAGTGTTACCTAAAACAACTGATGGTCATGTCCCCGCCCATCTCTTTTTGACCAATC